ATACTTCTGAGTTAATTTTGTTTTACTGTAACACGGTACTTGAAGCAGCTTCTCCAAGGATACACATACTTTGTAAGATACTTCTGAGTTAATTTTGTTTTACTGTAACCACGGTACTTGAAGCAGCTTCTCCAAGGATACACGTACTTCGTAAGATACTTCTGAGTTAATTTTTGTTTTACTGTAACCACGGTACTTGAAGCAGCTTCTCCAAGGATACACGTACTTCGTAAGATACTTCTGAGTTAATTTTGTTTTACTGTAACTACGGTACTTGATGCAGCTTCTCTAAGGGTACACGTACTTTGTAAGATACTTCTGAGTTCAGTTTCTTTTTACTGTAACCACGGTACTTGATGCAGCTTCTCCAAGGATACACGTACTTTGTAAGATACTTCTAAGTTCATTTTTGTTTTACTCTAACCACGGTACTTGAAGCAGCTCCTCTAAGGGTGCACGTACTTCGTAAGATACTTCTGAGTTCAGTTTCGTTTTACTGTAACCACGGTACTTGAAGCAGCTCCTCTAAAGGTACACGTACTTTGTAAGATACTTCTTGTTTTAGAAGAGAACCACTGAAAATTAATTTACCACGTATCACAGCTTTTCGTTGTAACCTCAAAAGATTTAAATGTAATACCGCACGAAGCTTGGAAACTCTGAAATATCGATTTTATGATCACAATAGTATACTCCATTTTACTAGATAAAATGTAAGGGGGAATATTGACAAACCAACAAACAAGAAAGTTCATTAGACTTACATTTTCAATCATTTATACGCTTTTTTAATCCATATGAATTTCCTTAGAAAGACTGAATAGTGTATTTGGCCACTGAATAGAGATTTGGTATGTAGGATTTTTAATACTCATTTAAAACCAGTTTTATTTTGTTTGATCGACCCAACAACCATTGAACTTTACAATACAGGATTGATTGCTTTATTTCTGTGTGTGAACGTAATATAATAGGAGGAAAAACTTGCCAAAGCTCTTGTAATATACTTTGATAATGGTTACATCTTTCCACACAACTTATTTTAAGAATAAACGAAACTCTTTTCAATAAGATTGACTCTCAAATGTAAAATATTGAGATATAAAGCTCAAATATTCATATTTAAATAGCGTATGATGGATCGTTTTGACGCTTGCGATAAGCGCTGTTTTTGCCCACAAGAGAGTTACTTATGTGTGTGTGATAACGTAACATACAGACAACAAAGGACAATATGGTTCTTGAAGAAAACGTAAATACTTAAACCTAGCCTTTATTTTTCAGGAATTTTCTATTTTCATTTTTAAACTCCCGGTAATTGTCGACAGCAACTCATTCCACAAGCCAATAATCTGGTTAGAAAATTAAATCTATTTTCCCTGGAGTCTGGCCTGTCTGTTACAAATCTTAATCTCATGTCCTCTCATCCTGTTATCTTCAAAATATAACACAAAGACATCATAGGTCTTTATCATATCAATCACCAAAAATCTTGTAAGCTTAAATAAGATCATTTCTTATTCTTCTTTTCTTAGAGAAAATAAGATGAGATAGCTTAACATTCTCAATAAGATAATCCCCGGAATCAATCCCCTCATGGAATTTCCTGAACCTTTTCCTATAAGTCAATGTCCTTGTTATAGATAAAGAGACCAAAACTATATAACGTATTCCAAGTCAGGCAACACAACATCACCTCGATGGCTAGAGTGACTGATTCATCACTATGTCAAGATCATTTTTCTTCAGTCACTTTATTCAATGGGTTCTCAGATATATCAAACGTGGGAATCGAATTATTATAAACCAAATGTTCTTCCTCTAATTAAAAGTCATTTGCTAAAAATTTGTTTAACTAACCAATTGATCCAAGTCATTCTGTAATACCTCAATATATTGAATGCAGCTAGAAATACCCAATATTTTAATTTTAAGAAATCCAATTTTGAGATCATGAAACAAGATTTATCGTTAGTGAATTGGATTAATGAAATAAAAGGAATCGTGGGCAGATATAAGAAATTAAATAAAGAATAAATTAATATTTATTAAAGACAGGAACGTTTTTAAAAAGAGGAAAAATATAAGGCGGAAGATCAAACCAAATTGGTTTACTGAAGACATGAGGGAGAAAAATCAGAAATAAAAAAAAAGTTTTAAATTTAAATTGACAAATAGGTTGGAAGATTTACAAAACTTCAGAAAGGTTAGGGTTTGATATAAAAAATTAGGAAATCCAAAAAGGGCTTATTAAAAATAGCATTGATTTTTTTAAGTATGTTAAAGATAAGCAAAATATCAAAATGAGGATTGGACCCTTAAAGGATGTTTATAGCAAGTTTTTTTTATTGAAAACTATGAAATGGCTGATATTTAAAATATTTTCTAGTTTTCTGTTTTTACAACAGAATATAGTAACAATATTTCTGACTCTGAGTATTCTTTGGTAAATATTAGAATTGGTCTGAATCATGTAGATATTAATCCCTTGGTGGTAAGTTGGAAGGTTAAAAATAGATAATGCACTAGGACCAGACAAGGCTTTCCACAGAGTTTTAAGGGAAGTTAAAGATCACTCACATATACAAGCCTTTCTCTCTCATTTTTGGTAGGTCAATAGAAAATAAGCAGGTGACTGAAAATTATAGATTAGAGTGGGGAAAATTCTAAAGAGTCAGATAAAATATGCTGTACAAGGTCATTTAGTGAAATATGATGTAATAAAAAGAAGTAGACCAAAGGTAAATCTTGCCATACTAATCTGTTATCTTTTTTTTTCAAAGATATAGCTAAGATGATGGAAAAGGTGTGGAATTGGTTTATGTTTTCAAGACCTCTTTTGATACGGTGCCATACAAAAGATTAGTTACGAAAATCACATCGGTAGAAATTGGAGAAAGACTAGTTAATTGGATCGTAAGATGGTTGGATGAGAGAAAGCCGAAGATTGTTATTGATGGAGTGCAATCACACTAGACATTTGTAACTAGAAAAGTGCCTTAAACACTTGTAAATAGCGAAGTGTCTTAGGCACTTGTAAACTAGTGAAATGCCTTAGACGCTTATAACTAGTGGAATGCCTTAAACACTGGTAACTAGTGAAGTGCCTTAGACGCTTGTAACTAGTGGAATGCCTTAGACACTGGTAACGAGTGAAGTGCCTTAGACGCTTGTAACTAGTGGAATGCCTTAGACACTGGTAACTAGTGAAGTGCCTTAGACGCTTGTAACTAGTGGAATGCCTTAGACACTGGTAACTAGTGAAGTGCCTTAGACGCTTGTAACTAGTAGAATGCTTCAGAGACCTTTGCTTGGACCTTTGGTAAAACGTTTATATCGCCATTGAATTGTGAAAACAGTAGAACTTAAAAATTTATTATCAGTTTTTATTTGTTCATTTATTTAATTTTATTATAATTCCTCCTGTTTCTCTCGATACATTCATGTTTAATGTTATAAAGTTGTTTGTAAAACTTTCTTTTGGATATTTAGTTTCCTTTAATAGGGTCGTTATTGGATGAAAAGCAACTTTAATGTTTCGAAAACGAAGCTTCTTGAAATAAAGATTTCATTTTGGACTCGTGGCTCTTTTCCTACGTTAATTGAACGCTTAAGTGGACTTTAAAATAGATTTTAAATCTACATACACACACACACACACATATATATATATATATATATATATTCGTATGTACATATACACATGTAGATCTTCGCACATTTGCAAATGAGTGTGTGTATGTGTAATTATATGTGAGCACGTGACAACAAAGAGCTCATTTTTCATCCTAGTAATCATGGATATGGCAAACACGTGTAAAATTATTCATGCAAGTTCAAATGCTGTACGTCGCTCAAGAAGCGACGTTGCATACACAAACTTTTAAACTAGCAAACACGATAGCGTTATCAGTGGCAGTAGAATAGTATGGTAAGCACGAGACGTCCTATGCACTCGCGTTCCGGTAGATATACAAGGAATTCTCGAGATCAGACATCCTTGTAACCATATATGGTATAAAGCGAATTACTGGTAGTTCAATACTACATTAATTAGACCAACATGGTCAGCTGTATATT